AATTGAGTACAAAGTGATTCAGTATCTTCAAAGTTAATATTGAAATCACCTGCAAGCAGAACAGATGAATTCGTAGGTAATTGAGAAAGAAGTAACTCTAAACAATTTAAAAACGAGTGAACCTCAGACGCAGGGGATCTGTAAATACAAAGGATATATAATTTCATGGTGGAACAGAATGCTATAGAAAATTCGAATGTCTTTTCTTGAAGAAGAGCGTCATATTTATCAATATTTACAAAATTTAGTACTTGTGAATTATGTAGCATTATTGCAGTTCCGCCATGAATATGGTTATTTCTACAATACATCGAAATTACGGAATATTCTGGAACACATACAGCCTCGCCCTCTTTCAGCCAATGCTCAGTAAGAAGGACTACATTAGGAAAGTTTTGACTCTCTAGGAAAATGTATAGTTCATCAGTTTTGTTGCGAATGGATTGAATATTCAATAATAGGAGTGATAAGTCTTGGTTTTTACTTCGTGCATATTTCATTTGTGATGATGTCAGAACTGAATTGATTTCACACAAGCCTTCTCTAAAAAACTTTCATTTGTTTCACATTGAATTGAGATTTCCTCGTATAAACTCAGATTATTACTGGAGACTTGGTTGTATGAGATTTCTGTAGTAGGTGTTGTTACTGATGAATTATCCAATTTGCTGTTTTCCATGTTTCCACAAATATATTCACTGATTTCACTCGAAAGTATTGGATTCTTATTAAACATTGCAGTTAAAGTGATAGTTTTTAAAGCAGTTGTTAAACATTTCTTGCATTGATCTATGGAGTTTTTGATTTTTTGAAGTACATCAACTTTGCTTCCTTTTTTGTTTTGGTCAGCGAAAAAATATAAAGAGCAGTTTTTGTTGATTTTTCTGAAGGAATTGATTCGATTGTAAATAGTATTATTAATCTTTTTGTCCAATATACAGCTTCGTTGAGAAATTATTATTACGTTGGTGGTTTTACTGAGACCAAGGGTATTTTTCAAAAATAGATGCAAAGTTTTGTTGTTACTTACGTTGTTTGTATTGAACATCACGATAAGTATATCATCCTGACCATAATCAACCGTTATTCATTGAATGGTTAGGCATATTGGACTTGTTCATTTTTCGTGAATGTGAACTTCATGGATGAAATGTAGAATAATAAAGAGAGAAAATAATATTTTTATGAAGTGGAAAAGAAATAGAAAGTCAGGTAGGAAAATTTACTACATCTTTACGTAATTTCGACGTCGACGGGTCGTAAGCATTACGTAATTGTGTGAGTTCCCGCTACGTCGGCAAACCGTAATAATTACTCGTGATTTGTTCCCCATTTTGGTCGTAAATACGTAGTAACGACGTAATTATAACGTAACCGCAACTAGTAAATATTACTTAATAGTCGACCCAATAGTCGTAATTACGTAATCGCGACTATAAATGCTAGTTGGGTAACATCTGCCGATATAAAATTCTCGGAAATGCTTCGCCTCCAAGTCGCTGGGCGTTGGGAGAGAGCAGGCTAGATGTTATGCTTTGAGTGCGAGTGAGTTGGGGGTGTGGGGGAAGGGGGGGTGTTTCGGTAGTGCGCAGCCCTAGGATACACGGTTTTCGAGATATACCAAATTGGGTCGTTTGAGATGCGCAAGAGGAAAACTTATGCGCAGTACATCAAAATGCATATAATTTTAGGTAACTTGAACATTCTATTCGATATCAATCTAATAGATGTTTTTTTTCCTCATAAAACGCATGCGCATCATATTCCTACTGATTTTTCTTATGCGCAGTATATTCAATACTCATCTACAACTCAATAGCAATCCGAAACATCATAACATCTATGTGATGTCAGTGAACTATGTGAGTTAGCGCATGCGCAGACTGTAGGGAGACGGTTTTTTCTTGCGCGATCTCATGTTTCAATGTAAATGCAATATTATTCTTCGTATTTCATGAGTTGCGCATAGATTTGATATCAAGTTTCTCGAATTCGTCATAATTGATCATTCTATGTGCGCAAGAGAAATAAATATGCGCAGTACATCAAAATGTATATATTTTCGAGTAATTAGAACATACCTACCATTATCAGTCTGATAGATGATTCTTTTTTTCAGAAAACGCATGCGCATCATATTCCTAATGATTTTTCTCATGCGCAGTATATTCTACAATCATCTTCAACCCACAACTAACTCCAAACACTAGTATATCTCTATGATGAGAATTATATTGAAGGAGTTAGCGCATGCGCACACTGTTATTTGATAATTTTCCTTGCGCATTCTCCTGTTTCATTAGGAGTACTACTTTATTTATTATATTTTATTATTTGATCTCGAGTTACTCGAATTGGTCGAAATATATCATTCCATGTGCGCAAAACAATTAATTAGGTGCACTACGTCATAACGCTGACATTTTCCATCTACCACGGAATATGTTTGTAAATAGTACAGCAAATCTTTCACCTCATCTCTTAAGTTTTTTTTGACTAATAATCGATTTGTTGATTGAATAATTTTATTCAAACTTAGTCTACCATACAAAATATCCTATAATTATTCGTAAAACTAATTACAATCTATCAATTATCATCTATAATAACATAAAATATAATACAATCTAACAATTATCAACCATTCTCCCACTATATTTAAATATTAATCTATAACTAACATTAACTTAACACATTTATTGTCTCTTTCCGAAGTTAGCATTCAGGAACAATTGGCTCTGCTGTCTGGGAGAAAGTTCACCATCTCTAGGTTCCCGAAGCCCATCTAGTAGATCCCACCAATCGGAGACAATGTCCTATGAAGAAAAATCAAATTACTTCAATTGTTCTACTCACTCATTATCAACTTTCTTACCCAAGCATCGTTTCCCTCCATCATAGGATAGAGTCCTGGTGAACTCCAGTGGCTTTGATCGGGAAGGTCTCGATCACTTTGATCGTGACCTTCTGCAATTATCTCCACTACAACCCCATTAGTAGAGTCACAAGGTCCTGGTGAAGGGTCTCGATTCACAGCTCTTTGACGACCTGTCTCCATTGTGCTGTCTGGGCTGCTTGGTCTTATTGGACAAAACACAATTTCATGCGACACTAGCGGCGCTAATGTGAACTACCCGAAACACGTATCATTTTATCAAGGTCATTTGTCATTTTATGTTTATGACTTTTATGAGGTTATTTTTATTTGCTTTGTTTTTTCTCGAGTTTCTGGTTAGCATAATATATTAACGCCAATTTTGGATATCAAAATGCCTAATGAAAATAGGAAGAATAACACCAATTGTTGCGTTTATGGATGCACTTCTAGGAAGTCGAAAAACCCAGAATTACACTTCCATTATTTCCCTCCAAGTAAGCAACACACAGTTCATTTATCTAATAAAAGAGGAGTCCTCGAAGAAGTTGATCGACGTAAGGCCTGGGAAAATGTGTTGTTAATAGGTAAACCTGTTACCAAACATATGCGTGTATGTTCTAGACATTTCCGACCTCAAGATTATACACTGAAAACAGGTAAGATTGAGGTTAGGTTCCTGAAGTTGATTCTTGATTCTAACTAGTAATTCTTTCAGGGCTTCTTACAAGCAAAATTTCTCCAAGGCTAAGCAGAAAGGCTGTACCATCACAGCATTTACCCAGCAAAGCAACTGATATTAAAACAATCAAGTGTCCAAGAAATGATAGGTTGATCAGAAGGCAGCAGTTGAGAGAACACCAAACTCGAGACCAAACTGCTTCAACATCTGAATGTATTGACATGCCTGATATTACAATGGCTCAAGAATTTCAACTCACTGGACTGGAACAAGATGCTGTTAATGGATTATTGCAATTGTATGAAGCAAGCAGGGAAGAGGCACCTACGAAATGTGACAAGAGTTTTCAAGTTTCAAGTGGTGATTTCATGATTGAGTTTTGGCAGACTATCAAGTCTGATTCAATGTTAAATTCCATCAGTGGTGTACCAAATTTTGAGCTGCTGAAAGTGATTTGTAGGTTAATTGATCAGTATTTTCCAAGAAAAAGACATACCATCCTATCTACCTTAGACAATGTATTGTTAGTCTTCATGAAATTGAAACTGGGCATAAAATTCAAGATTATTTCATTTTTTTTTCATATATCAGCTTCCCTATGTTCCAAGATATTTGGAGAATTTATTCAAATTCTGTCAAAGGTTTGTAAATCATTCATAATTTGGCCATCTGTAGAGGAATGCAGACATAATATACCAACTTCTTTCATAAATTTTCAAGATGTGAGAGTGATCCTTGATTGTACTGAAATTCCCATTGATCAACCAAAATGCCTATGTTGTAGAGTAAAAACATATTCATATTATAAAAAGCGAAATACTATTAAAGTAATGACAGGTGTTAGTCCTGGTGGACTATTAACTTTTGTCAGCAAAGCTTATGGAGGTCGCACATCTGATAAAACAATTTTTGAAGATAGTGGAATTTTGGATATGTTGGAACCACATATTGATGCCATTATGGTTGATAAAGGGTTTCTTGTGGAGGAAAAATGTAATGAACACTTTATCAAAATGATAAGACCCTCATTTTTGAGAAAGAAAAAACAATTTTCTGAGCAGGAATCTATTCACAATAGAGAAATTGCTAGAGCTAGAGTTCATGTTGAGAGGGTTAATCAGAGATTGCGCCTTTTCAATATTCTGAATATACAAATGTCATGGTCTCTTGTGAGACATATTGATGACATAATTACTGTTTGTAGTGGAATAGTGAATTTACAAAACCCTCTATTCTCTGAAGACAAATTCATATAAACACTTTCTCAGTATATGTTAGTCAGTATGTATGTTGGTGATTTTTTTGCTTTTAATTTATATCAACTGTTCTTTATACAAATCAATGTTTCCCTTTTGTGTATCTGTCCTATTAACCAAGTATTTGTTTTTTATTGTTCAAAATGTGTAGAAGCTTGTTGGTATTGAATAAAAAAATATTTTTCTCAGATTTTTATTGGATATATTAGAAAAACATGAGATATTTACAAACAATATGATTGTTGCAGTCCTAAATTAATTAATTATTGCTACTACATAATATATACACACACACCCAACTTTAATACTATGTTTCACAAAGAAAATGTAACATTTTGGTGAAATATTTCTCAGAAATAGATGATATCAATTTCTTTGAAAACTGCTCATCAAATGGAATTTCAAGTTTGAGGTAGCTCTTTGAAAAACTGGAGTAAATAATGAGATCACAGATCTTCAAATTCATCAGTGACAAACCTAGCTGGATTTGTCCATAGTAGGGGTGTTTTTTCTTGAGTTCTAATCCAGTGGAAGTGATGTTCAAATAAGGGCATGCTGTTGCAAAAGAATCTGTATCTTTTGTTTTTCCTGTAATAATATTATTACTTATGAAAATTACTAAACCATGAGTATCTACTATTACCAATGAATGGGCATTTTATTTCTACAAGCTTGATTGGAGTTTCACCATCTGTGACTAGAGCATCTGGTGAAAATCCAAGCCAAGAAAAATTATTCGGAATAAGGATACCCAAATCTCCAATCACTTCCAGCTCAGTACACTGTTCATATAATTGGAGTGCATTTTTTTCTTCATTCTTTCCATGCTCTACATATTCATTAGTGAATTTCTTTGGAAAAAAACATTGTTTGGCTTTTCTTTGCCAGCACTCATCACTATTATTTATATTATATGTGAAAATTGAGTAGCATTTGCTTCCTAAAAAATAAATAGAATTGAAAATCATATATGCTTATGTTGTGCATAAAAGTTTGAAAATTTCACATGTTACAGAAATACCATTTCAACACTACTAACATACAAGTTTATGAGTTTGTTGATTTGTTTATGTAATAATATATTTCAATGAAGGCAAAAATTACAAAATCCACACAGGAGGTAAGAAACAATAAAGGAGTTGTTACCTGTAATTCTGAATTTTCGAATTTTATGCCATTCCTCTGAATTTTGGGATAATGACAAAGCTTGCAAAGTGTTGCAATTTTCAATAAATTTCCACTTATTTGTGCAACACTCTTTTAGATTGAAGTTTTCCAAATATACATCCTTTGAAAGATTATTCAAAAAATCAGAGGAACCACAATGCACATATATATTGTTGATATATGTAGGTAAACTATTTTCATCTGGTGTGATTGGAAGGACTTCATCCAAAAGTGTTTTCTTTTTCGAGAACTGAAAAAATTGGTCACATGGTCACACACATCAATTAGCTTTATGAGTTATTTGGTTAGATTATTAATTAAATATGACCTACCAATGTTTACTTATATTGCTGTCAGGTACAGCTTTCATTACAGTTTCTAAGCAATTTTTCATTTCAACTTGTGACAAATCATGAACAACTTTTATTCTACTTCTAGTTTTAACCAAACATGGGTAATCACTTATTGGAACAGGTCTGTACATTTCCTTTGCTTCAGTTTTGGCTCTTTTCCAATAACACTCAACATCAGTAGAGGATAACATTTCAAGATTGCTGATATCCATCCTGAAACAAAAAAAAAATGGCCAGAAACACAACTAAACAATAAGTTATGACTTCAGTGTCAGTTAAATTACTAGGGCATGATAGGGCCTCTTAAGTTATGTAGTAAATACAACCTAGAACAGTTGAGTAATAATGCAGAAATGTGTTTGCATGTTCCTGACAACCCTGCTTTACATGAGCATTTCATCTCCACAATCTTCACATCATTGTCAATCGAAAATGTTCCTTCAATTTGATGAGGTTGTCCTTGTAGTGCTGATGTCTGAAGGCAAAGACCTGCGATTTTTATGCTCTGTGTTGCACTGGACTTCTTCCCACATAAAATTAGATGATTTGCATGCAGTACCTCCTCTCCCTCTACGATACAACGACTATCTGGTTTTGCATCCAAATACTTGAAGATTTCTGATAACTTCAAGAACATACTGAAGAAATTCTGAAAATAAATAAAGAAATTAGAGTGAAGTGACCTAACCTCAATTTCTGGAAATCACATTTAAAAATTATTCAGCCATTATTTTATACTTACATGTCGACTGAGAAAGTAATAAGAGATATTTTAAATCCAAAACTAAAGAAATATAAAAGAATTTGCTCCAAACACTATCTTTTCAAACTATGTTCTCAATGACAAACATTGATAAACAAACACAGCTCATGAAAATATTACGCGTTTCGGGAACACGATTGCAGCGCCACCATCGGTAATTATTTAACCCAATACTTGCAACCCTTCTAGGTATCCTTGGTCGATTGGTGGATCTTCTCTGACGTGACGATTGGTCAGCTACTTGACGTCTTGGTGCCATTATTATCAGCAGGATGGTTGTCTTCAACTGTGGTAGATTGAGGAGGAGTTCATCTATATATCGAAGGAGTGGTAGAGGGAGCGTTGGTGGGGAGAGGTGAAGTGGTGGGTGAAGTGGTGGGGAGGTGTCAAGTGGTGAAAAGGGGTGAAGTGATGTGAAAAAGGTGGGAATGATTGGTTCAATCACATGGTGTCTATAGTACAATTATATTCCTATTTAATTATGAAAGTTGGTATTTCTCCTTTTGTCTCTCTCTGTTTCTCTTTCAATTTCTTGATATCATCATAGATTTTCTGATGCTCCTTGCTTATTCGAAGTGCTAGATCTTTGACAACTGATGAGATTGATGCTTGGAGTGCCATTAGGATTACTTCTTTCGCTTCGTCGATGTGTTCCTTCAAAACTTGCAATCGAACACAATCTGTATCATCCATGGATTTACCCACATTTTTCAGTCGTTTTCCGAGCATATTATAATTCCCATCGGAATCTAGAACGAAACCAATACCCTGCGGGCCTCGCAACGACCCATGTGATCTGCTTCTTTTGCGTCCAAACTTATCAATTGTGTCCATCTTTCAACAATGAAGTCTCAGATAGTAATGATCATTATTTTTTTATTCAGCCAGGTATTGAATCAAACAAATCAGTACAAAATTAACGTATATTCAAATCTACTTTTATCAGAACATACATTGACATTAATAACTAGAAAGACACAACATAATATATTAAAATTACAGCTTATGCTCTAATTGACCCTACAACTGGAGTGTTATTACACATAATACACACTTCCACTAATCTCATCATCCACAACCGGATACCACATACGGTACATGACTCCCTTCTTGGGATTCCGTCCAGATGGGATGTGTAGTGTGTTTCTACGTGTCTGTATAGGCCTCCTTGGGACAATGGTATATAGCGATAAAAACATGTGTAGCACAGGAGCCTATCGCCATTCGCAGTGTCAACCTGTACGTAGGACAAGGTGATGCAGTACAGGGGATTCCGATGAGGACGTACATCTTCGATATTTACATTGCGACTTCTGACTCGCATGTCCTCAGGCTCATCATCAATATCGCTTCCCAATCCTTCATCTTGATGTGCATGTGCAACTCCGTCATTCTAAAGAGTACAATAATTAGTAAATGTAATGCAAATAATCATGTAAATTTTTCATTACTTACGTCAATCACTGCTGCTCGATTCTGAACTTGAGCCATCAACATTCCATTCTCCATATCCTATAAGCAATAATAAACATATAATCATATAAAAAGTTTCATATTTGAACAACTTACATCAATATTATTCATGTCTTCAACAGCAATTTGCCTCAAAACATTGTACATAGCTTCCATTTTCTTCAATTTACTTCTTGGGACAACTGAAGCGAATGATCTAACTCATGGACTTCCTCCTCTTTTATACAATTCCCAGGAGGAAGAGTTTGACGTCAAGATTCATATGGAGAGGGGTGTGACGTCATAGGATACCATTTTGGTACCTATAAAGGGAGGAGGAGACACTTTTGAGTTCCAGTATCAATTCTACTTGATAACTGAACACATCTATCACTTAATGATGCCATTTCCAAAATCATGGGATTCAAAGCCGAAAATAGCCACTTTCCCATTCAGAATTGATGAGTCAGTAATGTGTTTCAATTGCAATGGGGCTTATAATAAAGAGGAAATGAATCCATCTACAGGATTATGTCGAAGATGCATTTATGAGAATAGACCACCTTGGATGGTACCAGAACCAGTTATTGATGATACAAGTGGCCCAAGATGTTCCAAGTGTCAAGCAAAAGCATTGAAGAATTCGAATTTTGGAATCTGTCGTGATCTCTGTAATAGTTGCATGAAAAGTGATCAGCCATTGAAGCAACGCTGTATGTCATGCAATAATTATAGGAATGATTGTTTCAATGGAATGTGTAGTTCATGTACATCCGATTTACTTTTGTGTGAAAGTGTAGGACATTTTTTCCTGAATAGTAATCATCACTTCAAAACATGCTGGTGCTTGAATTTCGAAAAACAAACTCTCAGAAAGGACTGTGGTGTCATTACATGTAGCCCATACACAACAGGTAGAAGAGTTGACCCATTTCGAGCCTTAGAGCAGTCATCAGGTAGTGATGATGAGTTATAAGTCGATACCTCTCATTGAGGGTTTCAATGTTTTTTCATCAAGATAATTTCAAATAAATTAGACATGTGCTCAATTTTCGAAACCATTTATTTTTATTTCCTAGTTATACACCTCATATCATATTCGATGCTTTGATCCATGAATTATGCTTATCTGAAAATCCTAACCACTTTACATATATTTTATCTCCTTTGCGTTTCAAAACTTTCTCAACCAAATATACGTTGGGATTAAACGTTTTAAGTAATTCCATTTCATAAAAACATCCTTTGATTGGATTTCCCTCCATGTCTTGAAGTAAGTAAGTAGTTGGATTAGTTCTTTTCACTGTAGTGATTTCGAAGAGTTCTGTTGAAAAGTTCGCAGTGTATCCTTTTTCAAAAACACCTTTGTACTTGCTTATTCTGACAATTTCACCTTCTTTAAATTTTGGCTTCAAAGCTATTTTCGGGTGACTATATGCTTCTATCTGTGTTGAAGGTAAAACATCTACAGGTCTCATTCCGATGGTGCGATGTTTTTCATTATTATATCTGTGGTTTAGTTCAGGTAATATGCCTAACCATACATATTCGCCTATAGCTGAGAATTCTTCATACATCCATTTCTTCAGAGTTCTGATGACCCGCTCAACGATAGCAGCTTTTTTCGTACTGTATGTAGTGTAATGATTGATTTCATATTTTTTCATTAATTTCTTGAACCAGCGATTGAAAAATTCTGTTCCAGCATCACTTTGAATATGTTTTGGTGAGTATTTCGCTTCTTTCAGAATTTTTTCCATAGCTTTACTAACATCCTCTCCTGTTTTGTTCTTGATTGGTTCAGTCCATAGATATTTAGAAAAACAGTCAATCACGAAGAGAATATATCTATATCCATTATTCACCTCTGCATATTGTTGCATTTCAGCAAGATCGATCTGCCACAAATCAGCAAATCCTTTGATGATTGTTCTTCTTCTTCTGAAGTTGCGGCGAGCAGATCTATGTAGTTCCTTTGCAATTTGTCGTTTAATATCATTCATATCTTCACTTCGTCTATGGATCTATCTCGATTCGAATGTAGATTATAACTGATGAGCTCTATCATAATGTTCTCTTGATATAGCTTCGATTCTAGTATACTATACCTTCTTCTCGCAACTCTTCAATTATAGATATGATTTCGTTGGTATGTCCAGTATGTCCAGCCATCTTCGAACTCCATAATAATCTCAATCGATCCACCAGTTCTTTGGGTCTATTCCAATATACATACTCCTTTTTCGACGTAGTGTACAATTTTTTTGATAGAAACTGCTTCAGTTTTCCACCTTTCTTTTTCCTCATTTCATAAGGAGTACGAACTGATGGTTTGATTAATTCATAATATTTCTTCGAACTTGATGTATTGAGCCCTTGCCTGAGATCGTAGTTTTTGTATGGTGCTCGTGTCAGTTGCATTATAGCGGCAAATGATTTCATATTTTCACCTCTAATATTTTCTGGTGGTTTCTTGAGGAATATCATATCATATAATTGTAGATCAGCTGCAAACTGTTTCTGTGTTTTACCTATTCGAATTATGATGTTTCCTATAGGAAAACTCACTTCAGCTTTACCAATCTTCAGTCGTTTTGTTTTGGAATCTATATGAACACCATATGCTTTGTCATAGCGTGAGTCCCCAGATAATAAATTTTCAATGTGTCCATTTGCTATTCGATCTTGCTCCTCAATGGCTTCAATGGTATTATCATCATTCATTGAAGATATTGTTGACGAAGGTGGCGTATCCATGAGATGTGATTCTGTGGGATCGGGTACGATATTAGTTTTCCATGAAGGCGAATAAAATTCGGTATTATCACTACGGCCGTTATATTTCGGTGTACTTGCTGATAATGGGATATAAGATGTATTATTCGAGACGGGTATACTTGTTTCGGTGACCGACGGCAAATTTTCGATTTTTGGTTTTGCTACGGTTGCAGCAGATATTACATTGAGCGGTTTTGTTATAGGTTCATATATTTTCTCGAGAGACATCAGATTTTCGGTACGATTACTCTTGATAGTATTGAATTTCTGTCTTACTGCATCCGTCGCTTCGATCAATTGTCGTTTCAATTTCATGTCACTCTCTGTTTTTTCATCCATTTTTATCTTCATCATTACCCAGCACGTGCAACTCCTGTGACGATTGGGAATCAATTGACTGGTCTTCGCTATTTTCAAGGATATATAAAGCTATCGAATCCTTTTTTATAGCGACCATTACATATCTCACTGTCTTTGTCAATGACCAGAAAGCCGTGATTATCTCTCCAACATTCTCCACACATATCCTGAAATTCTTTGAAAGTCACATCCGGTGAAACATGATCAGAAAAAATGTGTTGCAAATTTGTCACATCTTGCTTGAATATAACTATGAAGTTGGAGTTGTCGCGGATCAATTGTTTTGGAATTCTTGAGTATGTTTGTGCTAAATAGAAACAGTCCACCTGTCTATGACGACCCATACTGAAATATGATCGGATAACATCTTGATTTTCACTTATCACATCATCAAAAATGAATATGGAATCTGGTTTGGCTTCCGATGGATCCATCACCTCTGTATTATTACTGAATGTAAAGAATCCCAGTCCACTTATCGGTTCCAATACATTATGTAGATATTCATACTTTGGTTGATTAAGTGGCTTGGAGTA